TATAGAAGGCTTTCAGTCCACAAATCAGCCTAACAGAACCATGAATTTAGGCAAGTTAACTCTTACCATAAATATGATAATGTGTAAGTAGCCTACTACACATCCTTTCCCAGCACTTCAATAATATCATATATAAATGTTTTTTTGTATTTTTTATGTGATTACCATACCAACAGATTTTATGTTCATCCTTTAAAGATTGTCCTTAAACGAACAATTTTAAGATGTTGGAAAACTCTTATTTAAACACTTAAAAAAATAATAATAATACCATTGTAAACAGTAGGATGTTTATTGGCTATTTTCACTCCATATACATATTTTCACTACTTTTATTAATTAATATTAAGACATTATAAATGATAAAAACTAAAGTTAATTTCATCTACACCCTAAATTAAGCTTAGTGATTTATTGTTAGCCCCAGTGCTACCAGATTTTTTTTTTTTTTTTTTTTTTATATAGAACTGTGAGTTCTCATTTGAGGTGATGCTGCCCTCAACTTTGGGTCTGGAGCCCTGTGAAGTTAAAATAAAACAGCATATCATAATGTTAAGTCTATTTATTATTAAAAAATTAGTCAGTATTACAGTTATTTTGTGGGAAATTTGAATAATTGCATTGCAAGCTTATTTAAGGTGTGCCCCTAAATTTTTTGCTTGCGCTCCTAAAATTTTCAGTCAGGGGCAACAGCGCTCCTAGTAAAAAAAGTTAGTCTGGAGCCCTGGAGTGCACAGGTAACATGCTATTTATTTAGTTTTCATTAACCTTTTGGGCTTTTGCAGTAGGAATATTATATTTTTTACAGAAAGCAAGGGCTGAATATACAAAAATACAATATTCAATACATTGCTATACCTGCAGTACATACAGTATGCAATTTATTCAACCTACCAAGTTTCGATTACAATACTTTATGTAATTTCAAAATGTGTTTATACATTTTATTCTGTAGCTATATGCTCTGGAGTGATCTCCATTTTTTGATGTAGTGTAATGAATGCTGAGCTGGATGATGACATCACTGTTTTCTACAGAGCTGATTAACAGCTGAAATGAATTAATTTATTCTTTGATGTACTTTTCAGTTATTAAAAAACGAAACTGAATCAACACTGACTGACTTCAGCTACAGACACCATTTTCTTTTTACAGCTGCTTTACAGCATAATTGAACTTTATTTGCATCATTGAATCATTTTCCTGTTTATCACTGTAAAGATGCTTTGAAACATCTGTATTGTATAAAGCACTATATAAATAAAGTTGAGTGCTTGATTTTGTAAAAATATAATGGGTGATGGTTTCAAGAAATGTTTCTTAGCAATTGTGAAAAACTGTAAAGCATGGATCTTTTCATAGGGATGTGTAACATTTACAAGCGCCAAAACGGTATTTATTGTTTGAATTGCGTAATAAAATTGACAGAATCTGAGAGCTGAGATTTTTTTTTATATCATAACTAACCTGCTAACGTTCATGACATCAAGACTAGATTATTGTAATGCTATACTAGGTGGAGCCCTGCACGCTTAATAAACAAACTACAGCTAGTACAAAACGCAACAGCTCGAGTTCTTACTTGACCATATTAGCCCGGTTGTGTCAACACTGCATTGGCTGCCTATTAAACATCGTATACATTTTAAAATATTGGTGATTAATTACAAAGCACTAAATGATTTAGCTCCGCAGTAATTGAGCGAGTTCTTTACACCAGCCTCTAGTTCATAAACGCCAGAGGAGAACTGGTCCCTGACTGAGCCTGGGTTCTCCCAAGGTTTTTTTTTTATCCATTAGGTCACTTCAAGGAGTTTTTCAGTTCCTTGCCACTGTTGCCTTTGGCTTGCTCAGTTGGAGATATTCAAAATAATTAACCAATCAGTAATACCCTTGATCAGCTCTGGATGTTTTTCCACTGAGAAACGAACATTGTTATTATGTTTTGACTGATACAGTGAAAATGCTTTGATGCAATCTGTATTGTGAAAAGCACTATATAAATATACCTGACTTGACTTGCTCTGTCTAGTCTGTCAGTCACCGTGTCCCCTTTGCTTTGCGATTTTTCTGTGCGTGACAAAATTGATGTGTGGCATGAGAGCGTGTGAAAAGTGTCAATTGCGTGTCTCACGGTGAATTTGTGAATTTGGCAGCTCTGAATGGCGCTAGCTTGGTCCACATCAGCGAATGCTGTTTGTCAAATTAAAGTAATTCAAACTAACAATAAAAATGTAATATGAACAAAACGAATATGAACATATTCACTAATAAAGGTGAAGGGGAGTAGCTTGAAGATGTCATATTTAAAAATCACTTGACATCAACCAAGGTTCCTTCGGAGTCAAAATGTCCTCTTGGGCTGCATTTACACAGCAGGTCTTGATGCCCAAATCCAATTTTCTGACGACTTGCTTACATAATCTTTTAAAAGTGACCCGTATCTGATTTTTGCATTTACACTATGCACTGCTAAAACTACCAAATGTAGACGTTCTGACCCGGAAAAGGAAGTAAAACAGCACGAAATGCAATGGATGCAGATGTAAATAAAATTACCCAGTGTTTTGCTTTCTACAATATTTTGAGAAAAAAAGTCAGCAAAACATTGCTCTCGTACAGCGGAGATAAAAGATGAGCACATATGCCCATATCTAGTGAAATGTCTTCAAACACAGATTTATTTCTGTCACAACCACTTTTCCAAAAACACTCAAAATAGATGAAACCTTCGCATTTCTCTTCTGTGTGTATCCTTTGTCCTCCATCACGCCTGTAAGTCATGTAAGCTCAGTTGGTGGTGTTCACCTGAGTTGATATCACTTTTTTTTAATGACGTATGACTCGCATTTACTGGGGAATATCCGATTTGGCTGCTTACATGACACACGCAAATGCACATATCTGATTCATATCCGATTTATTACCACATATGAGTGAGGCCTGAATCCGATCTAAGAAAATCGGATATTGGTCACTTGAACCATGCAGTGTAAGTTAGGAGTTGGCTCGGCTTCGGCTATGGCTCTAGGGTCATTGTGAAGGTAGGGGCGGAGCACAGAGACTATGCCGAGCATGTGAAGAATCAGTGCTCAGAGTTCATATTTGCAATGCCTGAATCTTGTGTTCTCATCATTTTAATGACGAATCTTTCAAAATTCAAAAACCTAAATGAATTCAAATGTGTTGATTCGCAAGCCGGTTGTTCCTGAAGGAGGGCTCAGTATCCAATGTATATGGATCAAGTTCGTCCTCCTCCGAATCACAATCTGTAAGTATTATTAATAATGTTTGCTGTTATGTTTTCTGTAACATGCACAATACTGTATAGTTGTGTGTGTTGTGTACACTCCGCGCAGCTTCTAAACGGGGTAAAGTTAGTTTTGTTTTGGATATTCACCAGACATTCATTGAAAAATGGCAATTACCTCCTAAACGACTTAGCCAAATATGACTTCGCTCTATATAATAAGCACTGCCCTTCAAAAGCCCCCGCAATGTGAGATTCGCCGGGAAAGCTTGCTCTTGACGGAGACGCGAGTAAGGAACCGTGTGGAAAGTGCACTTTTTCTGACACATTTTTTCAAACAATATATACAATTTTCAACACTTGACAAGCTATAAACCTGGTTATGGGCGTTCCGTTGCCGACAGTCTCTGCCTATGGTTTACCAATAACAACTGACTGGGTCATTTGACCAATCGTCGCAGATTCACGTCACTAAAGGAGGTGTTTGGGAAAATGAATCGTCGAACTAATCATCAATCATTTTTATCCTTGCATGCACGTTAAACTGTTTTTGGGAACTCCTAAAACAAAAATAGCAACATTTTACATACATTTTAGAGATAGGTGCTCTTTAAATAGTCTTTTGTGCATGTCTAGGCATGGGCATGCGTTCACCTTGCCCACACAATCAGAATTTAGGAACGGATAGTGTTGATCTGTTTTTATGATTTCTGCATTGATTAAAAGCAATCTGAGGTGGGTTCTGTGCTTAAAGGTTTGATGAACGGCCGTACAATGCTCGAAACAACCACAAAAATGGCATTATTTCATTTATTAACTGAAAGTATCGCAGCGGCTACTCGCACGCTTCAGTCTGTAGCAGAATAGCAGAGGCTGACAAACACACGAAAACGGGCAGAAATGTTTTTACAAGGTGTAAATTACAAGTTGTATCTTTGCGAATATACTTGAAGAAAATCTGATTGTATGTGAGATTCATACCAAGTTGAAATTAGCTAGAAAACCTCACTCATTAAAGAATGTGCATTTATTGAAGCAAGAATACAATGTTAGTGTTTAAAATGAATATTCAGTTGAAATGTGCCCTCTTTGGCTTGTTGTTAATGCTGTTAAACTGAATATATGAGGCAAACTGCTTAAATAAGAGGGCTGAAATAAGAATGCACTGTTTATCTTTCAGTCAGCCAGGGTCCATTCACATAGAACACAGTTTTGCGGTTAAAAACATGAGACGCATGTCTAGAGACGCATTTTTAACAGTTATTTTAACTTAATTTTAGAAAGCAGTGATCCTTCCAAAAATATGGAAGCTAAATCCACGTGCAACAGTCAAACCCGTGTGGGGTGATGTTTACATTAAAAATCATTCTGAGTGGCATTTAATTGCCCCTTCCAAGGAATTAAAGTTGCATTAATTGCTATATCATTAAGCTTCCAATGAGTTTTCTTTTGAAAAAGAAAAGTGATAGTCTTGACATTTAAAGTGAAAAGAAGATAAAATGGTCTTGTCACAAGGTGTGTTATAAAATAAATATAGTTATTTTATTTTTTTTCAATCAATAACTATTTGGGGAAAATAAATTATAGGCAAACAACATAAGTTACAAATATTTAGTACACCATTGGCATTAACTATAGTAAGCCTTGTTTGAAATTTTTTTTCCAATTTCATTTTGGTATAAATGTTTAACTCAAGTATGAGCTCATGATCAAACAATTATGTAGCATGTAGCATTTCAGAAGAACTTACGGGAAGAACCCCAGGCATTTTCTCTCCATTCTTCACCCAGCAACATCCCTTTACGTCCATCTTTTGTCAATTCATCCGATTCCCACAATTTTTTTGCAGGAAGTAGCTGCAAAAAGGGTCAATGTGGCAATCACTTTTTGCAAAGTATATGCATACAACAACAGGGAAACAAAACAAAAACAAAAAACAAAAACAAAAAAAAAAAAAAAAAAATAAATCAAACAAGGAGTTGAAATACGTTAAAAGATTACAAGGAAATCAACATTGAAACTGGTAAAAAAAGATTCAAAAGGACTATTAGACTCAAAATTACAACTGCCTTTTTAAAAACTCTGATCACATACCTCACCCATTCCACGAGACTCCAGAGCCAAGGCTTGAAAGTCATAATTCATCTCATCCACAGCGCGCACCTAGATAAAGCACATTTTATTTTCACCAGAATAGAGCCAGAATGAGCATCGAATACAAAAACTTCACTCCCATAAGAGTGAACCATGATTTGCTACTTGCAATTGCAAGTCAAAAGTAGGTATTGAGAATTACCGGGATAAAATATATATTAAATGATTCTCAAAAATAAAGACAGACTTGGAAAGCCACAAAACGAATCGGTTACCTAACGTAACCTCGGTTCTCTCTAGATGAGGGAACGAGTATTGCGTAAGCTAGCTTACGCTACGGGAAAGATTAATCTTTTCTGAAAAGTTGAAGCCAAAAAATGATCCATTAATTTTGTATCCATTGTCAACGCAGTTCATCTGCATCAGACCATGAGCGGGCTAGCTAGCAGCTCATTGGTTTGCTCAGGGAGAACTGCTACAGCCTATGAGGGAACTCGGTTGAACTCACGGCCAATGAGAAGCTGACACGCTCTCATTGCGTCAAAGCCTGCCAAAACTGCGTGGCCCGAGTCTATAAATAGGCGAGTTTCCCGCTGTTTTCCGGTTTTCATTGAATGAAGCGAGAACACTAGTAGCGCAAGCACGGCCGGTAACGCAATACTGGTTCCCTCATCTAGAGAGAACCGAGGTTACGTTAGGTAACCGATTCGTTCTCTTACTAGAGGTTCTCTCGTATTGCGTAAGCTAGCTTCATCTAGCAAGCATCCACAATGAGTCCCGGGGGACCCTTATAAGTGGGAATTAATAATGTACGTGAACATGAAGGGGCCAGCAAGCGGGCCAGGATTGTGTAGTACATAAGCACGAGGGAAGAACAAGCGGTAGGCCGGTTGTATGAGTGTGACTCCCAATAGTGCAGCTCAAAGCAGAATAGCTGAAGCATACTAGACTGCTAGTAGTTTAGCCTGCAGGGCGGGTACTTCCAGATTGTAAAATCTGACAAAGGTGGAAGGGGAGGCCCATCCCGCTGCCACGCATATGTCTTGAATGGAAATTCTGCTGGACCATGCCCACGATGAGGCCATGCCTCTAGTGGAATGAGCCCTGATGCCCGGAGGGCATGGCAGGTTTTTAGATGCATAAACAAAAGCAATAGCGTCCAATATCCATCTGGACAGTGTCTGTTTCGAGGCGGCCAGGCCTTTAGTGCGCCCACCGAATGAAACGAAAAGCTGCTCAGAGCGTCTGAACGTGGCAGCGCGTGTAGTGTACAATCTCAGAGCCTGAACCGGATAAAGGAGATTGGCGTCACATTCACTATCGGATGCGGGCAGAGCCGATAGGGAAAATAACCTGAGCCCTGAACGGGGTACCAATCGCTTTGGGGACATAGCCATGTCTAGGTTTGAGGATGACTATAGAGTCATTGGGTCCAAACTGGAGACACGCTGCGCTAGAAGAGAGCGTGTGAAGGTCTCCCACACGTTTAACTGATGACAGGGCAATCAGAAAAACGTTTTTTAACGAGAGGTATTTTAGGTCCACAGACTCTAATGGTTCGAACGGGGGGCTTTCATAGCTTCGAGAATTATAGAAAGATCCCAAATGGGAACCGAAGGGGGGCGTGGGGGCTTCATCCTTCTAGCTCCCCTGAGGAAGTGGATGACTAGCTTATCTTTTCCCAGAGACTGAGCGCGTCGGGGTTCAGCGAACACCGAAACAGCTGCCACGTAAACCTTGAGAGTGGATGGGGACCTGCCCTTGTCCAGCATCTCCTGAAGGAAGACGAGCAAAGACGTCACCTCACACCGCAGTGGGTCTAGGTTTATGTCGGTGCACCATTTTGAGAACACAGACCATTTTGACGCATAGAGCTTCCAGTAGAAGCCGCTCTGGCGTTCATGATCGTGTTTAACACTCCCTCTGGCAAAGCAACGGATAGTCGTTGATCACCCAAGCATGAAGCGCCCAGCGCTGAGGATGGGGATGCCAGATCGCGCTGCGAGCTTGAGAGAGGAGATCTGCTCTGACTTGAATGGGCCACGGGCTGTCTGCGACAGCAGAGCGAGCTCCGAGAACCAAGTCTGACTCTCCCAACGCGGGGCTATGAGGAGCACCGAGTGGCGTGTTTCCCTGATCCTCTGAAAGACCTGTGGCAACAGGGAGACCGGAAGGAATGCATAAAGCAGGCGGGCCACTCCTGGGCTAACGCGTCCTCGCTCTTTGAGAAAAATATTGGGCAGTGAGCGTTCTCCTCTGACGCAAAGAGATCCACCTCTGCTCCGAATATTCGCCACAGTTTCTGGACTGTTTGAATGTGCAGGGACCATTCTCCCGGAAGGATGGTGTTCCTGGACAGTCTGTCTGGGCCGTCGTTCAGATGGCCCGGCACATGCGTCGCTCTTAGCGAGAGCAGGTGGCTCTGGGACCAAACTAAAATGTGTTTCGTCAGCAGGAAGAGGTTCCTGGCTCTGACACCGCCCTGATGGTTGAGATAGGAGACTACAGCTGTATTGTCAGAGCGGATCAATACGTGGTGCCCCCGAATGCGCAGGAGGAAATACGCGAGCGCGTTCTCAACCGCGATCATCTCCAGACAGCTTATGTTTAGGGGGCTCCTTGAACTGACCAGTGGCCAGAGGCCGGTGAGCCCTTGCAGACCACGCCCCAACCTGAGTTGGATGCGTCTGTCGAAATGACTTTTCGGCGAGAGACGGTCCCCATGGTAACGCCCCGTTGAAACCATTCTGCCACTGTCCATGGCTGCAGAGCCGAGATACAGGTCTGCGTAACTTTAATCAGCTGGCGGCCCGTGGTCCACGCACGGTGAGACACACGGCACTTCAACCAAAGCTGAAGGGGGCGCATGTGCAGTAGACCCAGCTGAAGCACTGCGGAGGCTGAGGCCATATAAAAGTTTTCAGAGGTGTGAGGGTGTCCATCTGAAAGGATGCGGTGAGACGCTGAACACAGCGTGCGCACTGTGTAGATAAGCGAGCCGTCATAGCCACTGAGTCTAGATATATTCCCAGGAAGGAAATTGTCTGACTGGACTGAAGTGAGCTCTTTGTCCAGTTGACAGAGAGTCCAGTGTATTGATAAACCTGGCCGTCGAAGGCGAAACGTAGAAAAGGCTTGTGACGGGGATTTATCTGGATCTGAAAATAGGCATTTCAGATTTAGAGAGATGAACCAGTCCCCCTGGCGTACATGTGCGAGGAGTTTCTTGACTGTAAGCATTGTTGAAGCATTTTGTCTCCTCGTTTGTTCAAAAATCTGAGATCTAAGATCGGTCTGAGGCCGCCGTCTTTCTTGGGGACAAGAAAATAACGGCTGTAAAACCCCGACTCGCTCATAGATAGTGGAACTCTCTCTATAGCCCTTTTGCACAAAAGCTTTGCTATCTCTGAACGAAGCGTGTTTGCTGCTTCTGATCTCACTGTAGTTTCGAGCCGTACCCAGAAGCGTGGACGGCAGCGACAGAACTGTAACAGATAGCCATATTTTATTGTGTTGGTAACCATGGGGAGATTCCCGGAATAGCTTCCCAAGCTTAGAAGTGCGACGCTAGCGGGTGAATGGCTATATCGCCCTGATTGTTGCACATAGCGGGCTGGACACAGTGTGTGGGCTCGCTTAGAGTGTTTATGGCAATGGGACTTACACTCAGAGAAGAGTTTATGGGCCGTGTAACAGAGCGGGCAGAGGGGGGACACGCACACAGGCTCGTGGGCACGCTTATGCACTCTGACACTCGAGTGGGCAGTGTCCGCTTTATGTGAGTGGGCTCTGACAGAGACACGGGGAGTGTGGTGCTTTTGTGTAAGGGCGAACACAGGATCGTGGGCACATGTTCTACACAAAAGGCGTGTGTATACATACACATGTATGTGTATACACATAGCGGGCTGAACAAGTGTGTGAGCGCGCTTACAGTGCTTGTGCGTGACGGCTCGCGAACAGCCAATGGCTGTTTAGTGAGTGACTTCCCAATAAACGTGAATGGGGTGCGAGTCACGGTGTAATGAGCGAGTGTGGTCGCGGGCACGGGTGTGGTGTTTGTGTGTGGGAGTGAACACTGAGCTGTGGGCACATATACTACACTTATAACATGTTTGGCGTAAGCCAGACATTATGCACTTATGCCTGATTGCATTTTAGCCTGATACAGGCTGCACAAGTGGCGCATGCGCAAGTGCGTGTTAGAAACGTGAGCGCAGTAAGCGGCTTGTGTCGCGCGTGGGGCCTCATGCATGTAGAAACGTGAGCACTGCAAGCGGGCACGAGACTGAAGAGGCTGGGATTCGCGCGACCTGGCCGTGTAATAGAGCGGGCAGAAAGAAGATGTGGGCACATCTGTTACAGATAACACTCTAGCGGCATAACCAGCTAAGAGAGTGGGCTCTGTTAGACACAGGGTTGCTGTGTTTTAATATGGGTGAGCACAGGGGTGTGGGCACCTATTACACTTGAACAGAAATAGCATCAATCTTAATCTGTCAGCATTATTACAGGCGTTCATGTTATGACAGGATCATTGCTGCAATATAGACATTTTCGGCCGCTCAAACGAGGAAAGAGAAACGTTAGAGAGATGGGTGCAAACCGGCCTCTGCGGGCTAAAAACACACTCGTTTCTCATGTTGCCGCTGACGCATGTGCGCGGGAGAGCGCGGCCGCTTTCTGTAATGTAAGAAAGCTGCCCGCAAGCTCAGAGCTGCATAAAATTATCTGCAAGAGCCGGAATCGAACACGAGTCTCTGGCGAGAAAAGCTTTGTGTTTTACCTCTGAGCCACAGCAGTAAAGACACAAGCTGAATAGCACAAGCAGATAAGAGGGCATGATAGTGGCGAACAGGTCCAGCCTCGGCGGAACTAACACACCATAAACCCATTTTTGGAGAAGCTATGCACGGGGGACGGGATGTACTAATAAAAGTAAAGAAAAGATGTACTTGTAAAGTAAAGAAAGCTAGCCGTGGTCGGCACAGCTGTAAGCGGCTCGTCCCTCATACAGCGTGGGACTCCGGCGCTGAGAGAGGCGCGGCATGAGCCGCAGGTGTGCGAGG